TGTAATTAAACATAAAAATGAAGATTTAAATGTTAATAGAAATTCTTTGGTAAAGAAATATAAATATCAGCAAACGCATCTGAATCACTTCTGGAACAGGTGGAGGAAGGAGTATTTACTTAATCTGAGATCAGCTTATGTTTCTCCACAACCAGGTAAAATAGTTTCATTTAAAAGTGAATGATATTGTTTTGATTAATGATGAGCGTTATCCCAGAAATGTGTGGATGATGGGAAAAAATTCTAGAGCTATATCCAGGAGGAGACAGAAAAATTCATTCTCTTCTTATTCAAACTCCTAAAGGAAAAATAAAACGCTCAGTACAACTTGTGTATAATTTGGAAATTAATCCTCAATTGTGTTGGTTTAATTGAGTTGTAAACCTGCTAATGTTCTATCTGTGTATTAATGATAGTTTAAATTCTATGTAAAGTGGATATTTGAATAAGTTTATTCAGAAGTTAAACATATAATTTGTTTTTGTATATTAAGTAATTGTGAACAATTTTGATGCTTTGTAAAGGATGTAATATTCTATTCGTGTTTTTTTTTCATATAATTTCAAATGGTTCTTGAATGTAAATGTTGTTACAAACCAATGGTAAGTGAACTCAAGTGAGTTCAGGTGGGGAGTGTTACATATTTCCCGCGCCATTCGGCTAGAGGGCGCTGTGACGTTCCAGTAGCCAGTGGCGGGCGGATACGTGTATGTTCCAATAGTTAGTGGCAGTGGCAGGCTGGATTCTAAGGGTGTAGTACGTAGAAGGCAGAGATGCCTAATAATGTATCTGTATCTTCAGTTTATTTCAATTTCTTACATATTCTTGTAAATAAATTTTATTAGTATTATTGAAAGCCTCTTTGATGCACCTTTAGGCACACAGAACCATTAGAGGCAAAAACATGTATCTAGACAGACTCGACTTCTGTGGTAAATACATCTGCCTTGATAATGCTGATGACGTAACTAATGCCGAACCTGAACTGAAACTTTGACGTTACTAATTCGAAACTTGAAATCAAAATTTCGAGAACTGAAACCTTTTTCTTGTTGAGCTAAATTACTGGATAACTGTGCAGTTCAGCGTCTCTTCCCGTTAATATGCTAATTCGCTCTGCTCTCTTTCAAAAATGTAAATATTCTTGAATGGCCACGATTAAAATGCCAAATAAATTGCAGCTGCAAATGCCATTTCAAATAGAGATAAATATTTAATTCTCTTCGACGGTAAAGTTTGCTGTTCATGACAGATTTAACATCTTACGTTTTACAACATCAACATTGCTAAGTCTTTTTAATTATACACACACACACACGCATACATATGTATATGTTTGTGTGTGCGTATGTGATATTGTAGTTTTTGCGGAAAATGAGACCAACTCCCTTTTTAATACTGGTCGAGAAAGTTGCTGAGTAGATGACGATTGCTGCGAAATTCACAACTGGCATGCTGGTTAAACATAATTTTTATTTTAAACAGGAAGAATTATTTATAAATGCGTTTTTTTTTTAAACTGGAACAGCACTAGGGCTGCTAAACAAGCCTCACAATTTCCATGTACGCAGTTTGCATTTTAGGTGATAAATAAAGAAAGAAAAGCCGAAGCGACACGCGTGGTTTACTCAAATATAATCTGGCGTAAAAAAGTAATGCATTTTAACTTCGGTTGTATTTATAGCCGGAAGGTCTCTGTATTGATACTGAGCAGCGATTGAATTAATATTCTATATATAGTTGGTTCTCGTAGGAAAGGAAGTGTAAAACAGTTGCCAATTGAAATTAGGAAATGCTATTTCTTAAGATGACTGTGACAAGAACTGTTAAAAACTTGTAATAATCTTAGAAGAAGTTTAAAATTTGTATTGGTAGGCGTTAAAAAGGTACACTTTAAAATAAAGCTAAAAAGAAAACGAATAGCACATATATAAAAAAAAATAAGGTAGAATAGTATATTACATAAAAAAGTAAATAAATTATTGCTAATTTCACGGAAGAGGGCTGACTTATCAAGAAGAATCAGTCCTCCCCCCCAAAAAAAAATTCCTTTGTCCGTCTTTATTTTCACAGTTGTTTGGTTTAATCATATACTTCCAATTACAGAAGCATTTTAAATGGTGAAATGTTTTGGCAATGTGTAATTTAAAAATAATTAATTTTTGACTAATAATGAAATCTAACTACGTATATAATAACTGTTTTTACACAGTAATTCCAAAATCATGGTTATAGGGGAGGTACAGAACAAAGATACAAATAACATTCACATAGGAAATACAGATCACAGTCCATTTATTTAGGCATAATTACAACTTAAGATGCATTTACAATAAGAAAAAATTAAAATGATATTGAGATCACATAACTTCTCATACAAATTGCTTCATATAAAGAACAGTACCCACAGAAACTGTATCAGGCATTTAAAAAGATCTTGCTTCAAACTACGTCAGAGAACACATGTGCATATTTGTAATTTGCCTAAAAGAAGATCATTGCCGGTAGAGGGCGGTAGGCGCACATCTCAGTAAGGGAAGACGCCATTCGCGATTTTGCTTTCGTCAGTGATGGGAGACTTTACGTAAGCCGAAAGAGTAGATATGATTACATGTAATGCGGCCGTGCTTATTCTTACATAATTTTACGGTACTAATCGGTTTTGAGAGCAAAAATCGCCAAACTATTGTTGATGCCAGTGCTGACAAAAATAGTTGCGGCAACCCTAACGCAAGAAAGGAAGTATAATAGTAATTAACTATCTAAGATTGATGTTTTAATTTAGATGAAAGGTTAATTTCATATGATACTTTTTTATTATTATAATTTATATAAAAAAGGCTAAACATGACTGAGTGGAAGCATAAGAGTAAATAGCTATTTCAGATCATTGTTATAATTTATATAAGAATTGCTAAACATAACTGAATGGATGCCTGCATCGCTATTTCACTACCGAGTTATCGCTAAAACATAGTTTCATCTCGTTGGTTGTTCAAACACAATTTTTTATAATGAATGATGCCTTTTCTTTGAAAAAATTCTCGGTAAAGTGCAGAATCGCCCACTTATTTGTTTGCCGCTTTTTACAAGGGATTTTTGGATTTTTGTCAATTTTACTTTTAACTTACTTGTCAATTTTACTTTTTAAGTGAAAATAGGTCGATGTGTACATAGATAAAGTGCAATTCTGGGATTTATTATTATTATTATTATTATTATTATGAAGTGAAAATAGGTCGATGTGTACATGGATACCGAGTATGTGCAATTCTTAAAAACGCGTCAAGCAGTGAGTGATTCTGCACTTTACCCAAAATTCTATTGCACACTTTTCGTCATGGGCAATTCCCAAATTGTTAAATCTATAGGATGTTAAAAAAGGATTTAAAATGAAAAAATGATTTAAAAATTAAACTAGTATTTCAATGGCGTCTTAAGAAAAATAGAACTATATAAATTTACGCAATCTGAAATCAGCGCATACGCTAGATTTGGCGCGCTGTTAAATGGGCGAGTTTGCTAGATTTGGCGCGTTTGCGCATACATTTTCGCTGCAATTTTTTTACGGTCCTCAAAACGGAATAGTACCAATTTTACTTCGTGCCTCACGCTGAAATGAAGTATTAACGTATTTTAATACAGAAAGTTAAGTATTTTTTTTTCCTTTAAGAATTATGTGCTTTCGAGAGATTTAATTCATGATTATACTAAACATTTTGGTTAATCTTCGGATTATGGAAACTTGGCGATTTTTTGGCAACCAACCCTGCTACAGCAACCTGCTAGTTTATTTTGCGGGGACGCCATTTTTTTTTCACGAAGTAAAGGCATGTTTTTTATTTTATTTATTTTTTTTTTAACTCAACATTTTTTTCCAACAGTCTGCTAGCCGAATTACGCTTATGCTAGAACTTTTATGGAACAAAAGTGCTTAATCATGACGAAGATTAAGTGCGAAATTGGGAGAAAGTGCAGAATCGCCCACTGCTTGGCGCGTTTTTAAGAATTGCACATACACGGTATCCATGTACACGTCGACCTATTTTCACTTAAAATAACATCCCAGAATTGCACAAAAATGGCATTGCGCACACTCTTGACTTTATCCATGTACACTGCTAAAGTCCTAGCTAGTAACCTTTATCGTCTTACCAAAATGACGCCAAACTACCTGTTACCATATTTCAAAAATTAGCCAACATTTTAAAAATTTCATTAAATGATTAGTCATTAATTTTCAAGTAATAAATATCTGCAAATTCCCAAGGATACCTTAAATGGCTAAGTACATTGCATATTCTCAGCTCTTACGTGATTAAAGAATTAAGTTAAGAAAAGTGAACAAACTATAAAATTAAGTTCAAAATAATCCTTCTTTTCATAATTTGAATCCATAAGCTATTATAAAACACTGCTTATTAATTAAAACATATTGCTCATCATATTTGTATGAAAGAAAGGCATAATATCATGAATTTTTATTTCATTTTTAAACTGCGTCAGTAAATAAAAAGAAGGAAAAAAGTATAATGCAGTTTTATCGGGCGATATTTAGGCAAAATATTTTCAGTCTTAATATTAATAGGTTTGGTTTATTTGATTACGGCAAAACACCCAACAGTCATTGCTTAAGTGGAGGGAGCCTTCTTTGGAGGACTTTCTAGGATAAGTTAATTGGTATCTACATTACACATTGGGAAAATCACTAAAACCCTCATATGCTAGCCCGTTGACTGGGATTCAAACCCCGGCCAAACTACCAAAGTTCATCGACTTTACCGCTTGGCCGATGATGAGCCAATATTAAATAGACATAGAATCTTAAAAAGTGATACAAATGTTGCATATTTATGTAATTTGTCAGTGCTTTCTCTCTACACGTCGCTTCTTTTCCCTATTGCTTTAGATTTCTATTTTACTGAAGTTGCTTTCTTAAAATAAATACTTACTTTAAAAGCAATAGCTATTTTAAAAGATCAGGTGTAAATTTTAGGTACCTGTGAAATTCCACCTTGTTCGGACAAGAAGATGTGGGACAAATCTCCTACCATAACTTCCTGGCCTCTAGTCCAGCAGTGTGCCATGACTATAAAAAAAAAAAAAAAAAAAAAAAAAATCATAATATGACAATCAATTAAAAATGTTATATATTTTATTTTAGAATAAACAAATAAGTTTATAATAAGTTTTTTTTTTAGGCAAAGCCAAAAAAGAAACTTATCATATTGATAAAAGTTCGAAATCTGATAATTAAACGGTTATGTTACACATACATTCAACTTCAGCAACAGAGCTTCTCAGCCTGATGGGAAAATAACAGTCAAAATGCAGCTAACATCATGCAAGAAGATAATCCTTGTTATACATGATTTTAGCCTGCTGTAAATGCCTCCTTCAGTTCCATAATCTTTTTTTTTTTTTTTTTTTTTTTTTTTTTTTTTAAACTTGATGAAAGTACACAGAAAGTTTCCAAGACAGAGGATAAAAAATTTAAACAAACTGAAGCCTATCGAGTGCTAGAATATTTCTGAACAGCTACATTTTTTTTAAAGCTCTTATGATATATGCGGGAATAAGCTTCTTTTTACATCTAAAAATGGCAACGCGCTTACCAGCAAGATCACGTGGCCACTTCGCAGACGAGAGATGAAAACATAAGCGAAGAGCATATTCGCAAAGCTTACAGACCGTTTCTTCAACTGTTTGCTCCAATTGGTTAAAACAGGAAACGTAGAGTTACAGAATCTTGTGCTTGGCGACTTTTGCTTCATTGCCTTTGCTATTTGTTTATATGAGCATGTTGTACCAAAATGCGTTAATGTAGGAATAACGCATACTGGAATAAAACATAATTTTAGTTATACTTACTTATAATTTAAGTAAAAAGAAAAGGTATCCGACGTCCTTAAATGTTTATTGAATGTTTTCATTTGGTTTAATTTTCATTTTAATTTATTTTACTATATTTCCCCGCGATGTTCAGAAATGGTTTAGTTTAGAGCTTGCACAGTGCTTGTTTATGTGCTTTGAAAGTTGTATATTTTCCTTTCGTTATACAGCTTTATTGATACCTTTGTATAAATTAATGCGCTATGGAAATTTACACAATAGACTCTTTCTAACAGAAAGGACGAAAAGGTACAAATGTGATTTCCATGTAAATACTTTTCTTGCAAAGCAATTACCGTATTTTAACAGTTTAAGTTCATTCTTTAACCAAATACAAATAAAATATTAATAAGATCAGCAAGTTGTTTAAAATATATTGCGCAAAATTCCCCTTAGCTTTCATTTATAAAATAAAAATTATCTAATGATACAAACGCTGTTTCTCCTCGCTTTACTGAAAGCATACAAGGTGTTTGGCGTTCGTTACAAAGCCGCCTACAAGGCAATAACTCGCCGTTCCAAATATGACCGCCAAGCAGATGTTTCATCCAATGAGAGCAGACTGTAGCAGAAAAGGCCTGTAGGCTTTGTGAATATGCAAACGACGATGGAAGTTTGAAAGCGAAGGACTTTGAATTCGTTTTATGATGCGATTCCGCTTAATATGATGTTATGCTGTTTTTATGATGTAGAGACATTAGGTTATTTGGAAGCAGGAGACATGAAAAGTGAGCAATGCAACTCGCCGGGACTCGAACCACGGACCTCTCGAATACTCGTCGAGTGTGCTGATCACAATACCACGAAGGCATGCTAAGAAGGCGGGAGAAATACTTTATATACTCCCCCATTTAAAGAGCGACTGGGGATTAGGGAACCCAATCACCAAATCCCGGTTTTGGAGAATCAGCATCCCCCCCTTTTTTAGTTCGGGCGCCACTGTAGAGGCATTAAGTTATCTGGAAGCAGGAGGCATGAAAGGGGAGCAATGCCCTCGCCGGGACTCGAACCACGGACCTTTTGAATACGCATGGAGTGTGCTGACCACTACACTGCGAAGGCATGCTAAGAAGGCGGGAGAAATACCTTATGATGCCATAGACAGACCTTTTTCGTCTCATTTCATTTTATGTATTATCTTCGTATTAAATATGTTCACGTGTTTTCGTCATTAAATTACTAAATGTGACTGTAAAGTGGTTGAAAAGTAGACACACGCGTTCGTTATTGCTTTTATTGGCCGTGAGAAAAACAAGTTGGTACAATAGATATAGTTCGGCGCTCGCAGGCGCCCTCTTGCAGAGAACAAAATCAAAATTTACATAAAGCGCAAACCTTGAAATACTATTTCAACATTCAGTGGTTACAATTCACAAAATTCAAAAACACAATGCAGTGTTAAAATCATGATATAATGCTTAATTTATGATACATATGAATTCTCAAATTGGTAATGAACACAATTTTGTAATATTTCTTTTGACCATGCCATCTGAAGTCTTAATGGTCACAATTCTAACAATATTATCAAAACCAGGATGTAACTGAGTAATTGTACCCATTTTCCATTTAGTTGGAGGTAAGTTATCCTTCTTTATGAGACACAGATCATTAACTTGAAGATTTTTAGTTGGCAAAAGCCAGTTTGCTCTTTGTTGTAATCGACACAGATATTCTTTGTGCCAACGCTTCCAAACTTGTTGAACCATTTTTTGAATTGAGATGGGAAACATTAACTTCAATATAATTTGGTTCAGGAATACTTGTTAATGATCTACTAGTAAGAAAATAACCAGGCGTCAATGCTGATAAGTCATTTGGATCATTAGATAAATTTGCTAAAGTTCGCGAGTTAAGGCAAGCTTCTATTTGTGTGAGAAATGTTTCAAATTCTTCATATGTCAATCTTGCCTCACCAACTACTCATTTTAAATTATATTTTGTTGATTTTATACCAGCTTCCCGGAGTCCACCCATATGGTGCGAACCTGGAACGTTTAGATGCCATTTAATGCCATTATCAACCAAATATCTACGAACGTTTTGGTTATAAGTTGTAGATCTAGCAAGCCTTTCGAATTTCATGAGTTTGCGTTTTTCTCCAACAAAATTGGAACCGCAATCGCTATATATATCACTGTTTTTGCCCCTACGGGAAATGAACCTCTTAAGGGCTGCAATAAAAGCATCTGCTGAAAGATCAGTTACTAATTCTAAATGAATAGCTCTTGTCATAAAACATACAAATAGAGCTATATATGCCTTGAATGACCTAGAGCTTCGACCCTTATTTGCTTTAATTTGAAAAGGACTTGCGTAATCCACTCCGCAGCGCAAAAGCGAAGGAGCAGGGATGACGCGACTAGATGCAAATCGCTCATCAATTGATTAGTGACAGATGCTCTAATTCTGCAACACTCTATACATTTTCTAACTAAATCTCTGATAACAGCTCTAGCACCTATGATCCAATATTGTTCTTGAATACAAGATTGCATGAACTATGGACCTGCATGCAGAAGTATTTCATGGTAATGTCTAACAATGAGATGAGTTAAAATGTGCCTCTTTGGCAGCAAAATGGGATGACTAAAGCCATATGAAAGGTTTGAATGCCGCAAGCGGTCGCCCACCCTGAGAATACCTGAATTATCTAAAAATGGTTTTAAAGACAAAATTTTGCTTGTACAAGATAATGATTGATTTATGTTTAAATTGTTGATTTCATTCTTAAATTCAACATATTGCATTTGTAGAGATATTAGGTATTTTTTGGAAGCAGGCAAGATGAAAAATTAGGAACGCCTTCGCCTGGAATCGAACCGCGGACCTCTCAATTACGCGCTGAGTGTACAGACAACCACACCACAAAGGCACGCCAAGAAAGCGGGAGAAATACCTTATATGCTCCCCTTTTAAAGGGCGACTGGGGTTTTTAGGGGACCCAATCGCCAAATCCGGGGTGAGGAGAATCATCATCCAACACCCTTTTAGTTGGGGCTCCACTGTAGAGACATTAGGTATTTTTTGGAAGCAGGCAAGATGAGAATTTTTGCATGATCAATTTATACCAAATTGTGATCGGTGAGGTCGATTGGTGTGATCATCCAAGAGGGTCAAAGGTCTTTGCGATTGTTGAAAGTAGTGTTCGTTTGGTTAAGACCTCAGGATATGATGAATTGACTTTGAAAAAAAACATATCTGAAGCTGGATACCACAAGATACCTAACGTTTTCTACAGTATCATCATTGTCAATGTTCAAAGAAACATTTGATAGGCACAAATTGGATTAATTGACTTTAAGACTTCTTTGCTGTTAGAAGCCCATTTTCTTAGAACAAATCCTGCACGTGACAATATCTAAATTGTATTTGTAATTCAAGAATTTCAGTAACTGAACGGGCTCCTGACATCAAATCATCAACGTGAAGTCCCTAAAGCATGTCTCGGAAGCCAAAGGAAAATTATTTGCTTTTTCTATTGCTAACTGCTGTAAACATTTTACTGCAAGGTACGGTGCTGATGCAGTACCGTAAGCAATCATAGTTAATCGAAAACCCTGAACTGGTTTAAAAGGTGAATCACGCCAGACTATTCTTTGAAAGTCTGCATCTTGAAGTATAATTTGTCTGTACATTCTCTCTATGTCCGCAGTTATAGCTATTCTGTGAATTCTGAAACGAATAATTAATGTTATCAGATCAGTCTGTAACTGTGGACCAAACATCAGTTTCTCATTAAGAGAAATACCACTAGAAGATTTAGCAGAATCATCAAATACCACTCGAAATTCATCACGATTTTTATCTGGAACTGAATGGTGCGGAAGGTCAAAGCTTCTTCTCAGAATTTTATTTTGTGTTGCCTGAAGTATGTGAAAGTTTACCTTTGAGGGTAACGCCCAGGCTATAGATGAGTAGCATAGAATCGGCCGTACAATGTATACGTATATCCTGCTCTTTTTGTTGAGAAACAGTCCAGAGTAATTTCCGAGGAATGCAGGAAGTTGTTTGGCAATATCACAAGCTTTTCCTATGCCGTGCTCAATATGGCAATTCCATGTGAGCTCTTGGTTAATAATAACCACCAGAGATAACTTACATTATTTACACAGTTCACAATTTTCCCCAAAATGTAGAGGTTGTTCAGTGCTGTTTTCCGAATCTTGTGCCTCCTTGCCAATAGAAACCTTGAGG